TCCTGCAATTAAGCACAGATTTTTGCAGAATGGGGTTGGAATTAAATCCTGTGCACGGGTGATGAGCTGAATTGGGACCAGCCACTACAAAGTTTATCTGTGGAGTTTATTCCCACTTGGGACCTATTGTCAGTGGCACTATGCTTGCTGGCTTCAATGTGTGTGAGATCAAGGCCCTAGTGTGTATGCATGATTGTTGTTTACATTGATGGCATTTATTCCTCAAGGAAAGAATAAGATCCCTATTTAAACATGTTTCTGTACTTCTCTTAGTATAGTTGCTCTTAGAACTGGGCAAGGAGCTTATGATTAATATTTTCTGTTCTTAATTTGCAAAGAAGCAGATTATAATTTAGCCAGTATTTTGATTTACTTGTTATTATGAATTCTTTATTGAGTAATTCTTATTTGTGCACAAGCATTTCAATTGATTTATTAGTCAGACTCAATTAGCTACCTTTGATTTATGCACAGATCACCTAATGTGTTTTTGCTTCCTGATTGGATAAATATAACACCTGTATTCAGATTCCTTGTGTGAATACATACATTAGAAATTTGATACTGTGAAGGTTCCCAGTATTATGAAAAATTAATAGTTTCAGCAAATATTTTTGTCAGTTATTTGTTCATTTAAAATGTGCCTAAAAAGTGAACACAAAAAGGGCGTGGACACAAAGTGGATTCTCGTGAAAAATCGTACGAGAGGCAATGATTTGATTAAGAGAAAAGTTTTCAGCATTTGCCCAGCTCTAATGCAGGAGAGAAGAGTCTTTTGGGGGAAACAGTGCATGGAAAAGTACTGAAGGGAGGCAAATCACTTCTTTGGGACATCATACCTGCTCCTTGTGGGGGTTGGGATGAAGTCTACCACACATATGTAGCATTGCACCATTGGCAGGGTGCATTATGGTCTGAGTGGAGATGGGGAGGCACTTCTTTCTTGGAAGAAGAGGTGGGTTCAGAACAAACGTTGGTATATGAAGTTTGCACAAGTTTGGATCTGGACCAGAATTTTATGGCTTGAACCCACCTATTCGTGGAAGTATTGGGTGCTGCCTACAGCTGGAAGCCTTGTGGACCAATGTTGCTACATTATCCGCATGCCTTTGTTGTGATTGACTAGACAAAAGTCTTACAGTTTGAATGTTTGTTTTTTTTTCCTGCACTGGGGAAAGGAGCAGCAAGGCTTCTCTCTCTCTGACTATTTCTACTCTTGACACCACAGCAGATTTTGAAATAATTTAACCACATTAATGGAGAAATCTTCCTTTTACAATGTTCTAGCAACTGCCAGGACCACTAAATGTACATAAATTTCAGGCACAATTCAAAGTCCTTTGTCACTTAGGAGCACTGGTGCATTTCTAATTTTGGGGCATTGTCTTCTCTTAAACTACTCTGGGTACTCTCTTTAAAACCAGTTTCCTTAGATGCCTGAGATCTCCAGTGATGGAAGCTCCACAAATTTCCTCGGCAGCTTATTCCATTGTCTGATGTTCTTAGGTTTAAAGATTTTCCCAGCAATTAATCTGCATTTTCCCACATCCAGCTTTAGATCATTTTGCTAGTTGTTGTTCTCTGCTCATTGGCTAAAAGAGAGTTAGTCTCCATCCCCAAGTGGTGTCCATTCAAAATTATTTTGAGACTTAGTGGTGCTGCACAATCAGAAAAGTAAAAACCATTTACTATCCTAGTATGTAATTATACTAAAAATAAAAACAAGCTCAGGCTGGAGTGAAACATCAGATTCTTTTCACCCCAGGCAATAGAAGTCTCTTTTCTTGTAACTGTGTCTTAAAAGGGCTTCTCTTTTTGTTATCATGGCATTGATTGAATCTATTCAGGGAAGAGAGACCCAATTCTGGATAAATCCTCAGCCACAGCCATCTCCCTCACTTTAATCAGAAGGAGGAAAGTGTTAAGCTAGGACCACTAGGTGTTGGTAAAAGGAATTGTCATAGCGCTGCTGCCTTGATGTCAGCTTCAGGGGTGGAACCAGAGACAGTGCAGTGGCACCATCATGCAATTCTTTCAGTCTGTGCTGCAGGAGCAGTAGGTGGTGACATTGTTTTTTAGTGCCCCCTCCTCCTCCATTTCCCTTCTATGGCATACCCCATCCTCTCCCATTTCTTTGCCCACCACCCACAACTGCTTCTATCCCTGTGGTCCCTGAGGACCCAGGGGCAGGGGGGCTCCCCAACCACTCCCACCTTGGTGTTCTGTGGATCACCAGGCCAGCCAGGGGGAGCAGCAGTAGCAGATGGTGGGTTCCTTCTCCTTGCTTGGTCCCCCCAGGTGTTCCCTGCTATCCTTGGAGCAGGCATGGTATAGAGAACTTGCCTGCTGCTGCTGTCTCCTGCTGAGTCTAGCTCTCCATGCAGCCTGTCTGGAGAAGGGCAGGAGTGGCTCTGGAGCCTCTCCTGTCCCTCCTGCCCCTGAGGCAGTGGGAACGAAGGGGACAGTGGCAGCAGCCGGTGGGAGAGGGGGGCATGTCTCTGAGCACAGGGGAAGAAAGGGGTATGCCTGACCAGCATGGGAGGGGAGAGAGCTGGGAGCAGAGAGTGAAGCCACTCGTGCAGGATAGGGGGCTGCTCCCTAATCCCCCTTTTAAAAATCCTGGATCTATCAGGGTCCGCTTTATCTGTATCTGAAGCACTACTGTTAAAAGTTTGGTGTTTGGGAGTGAGTAGTATAATCCAGCAGCAACCCAGTACTTGAAGGTATTGATTCACTCAGCACCCATTAATAACAACAGGTTGCCCTATATGATCTGGTCCCAAGGTAAGTTTGGAAATGCGGCTGCAGAAAAAAGCAAAGGCCATGTACCATTTTATCCACTTTCTGGGGGGGTTTCAAAATAGCTTTGTTTTTTAAATCGCTCCAGAAATTATTAAGAACACACACTGTTTTGGAGTAACAAAGGTGGTTAACTTTGTTAACCTGAAGTCAGGCAGAAGGTAGAGCAGGGTGGCACCATAGAGTGGTAGTTCTCAGCCGGTTTAGAGTCAAAGCACCTCTTGGAAAATGCCAGCACTCAGCTTTCAATTGTTTTCAGGCTGTGGAAAAAAAATAGGATAATTCTTCAGGTGCAAAGAACTCAGGAAGACCACAACAGGCCAGCATGTTTCTAACACTATAGATCCCTATTTGAAATATCTGGATGCATCTTGTGACTCGTGCAAGTGTTTGCCCACCTAATAATGCTAATACTGTGGTTCAGAATCACTGCCTTAGAGATTAAGTGGGTCAGAGAGACTTGAGCTTTGGTAGGCAACACCCTGCTACGTCAGATGGAGTAAGGTGACACTTGCTTTATGAAATGAACATTATGAAACATTCAGAACCTCCAGCCTTGGGAATATTGAACCTAAAGCAGCTGCATGGCTGGAGAAAAATTCCTCCTTGCTCTTTGCCAAGGCAGCATGGTCTTTCCAGGCTTTTTAAAGGGATAATTTAGCTCTTGCCAATTCTTCCCTCAGTGTTGATATGCCATCTGTGAAGACTGCTGTCTGGCTTCTCCAGATGTTTTCCAATTCTCCTAGAATTTGTAATTTCATTCTCTCTGATGTCTTTAGCTGTGAAGATCAAGAAGCCAATCAAGACGAAGTTCCGCATGCCAGTCTTTAATTGGGTAGCTCTTAAACCCAATCAGATTAATGGGACAGTCTTCAATGAAATTGATGATGAAAGGATCCTGGAGGTATGAATACTAAGCACTGTTTGACTTCCCAGCACTGGGAGCAATTTAGGAGAATGTACATCCATGGATAGATCATTATAAGAAATGTACCTGGAAGTTATGATTTGGGATGTTCGTAGGACCAGTTCCAAGTAATGGAAATGGTTCTCAAACAGTAGATGAGATCCTTAGCTGGTACAAAACAGTATAATGCTATTAATATCAACAGAGTTGCACACTTTTCCCCCAGCTGATGATCTGAGCCAAAATTTTGTAATAGCCAAACTGACTTTAGAAATGTGCACCTTTGCTTGAAACATATGAATCAAGATGGTCATCCTACAGTTTC